CACATAGGGAAAATACCCCGGCAATACAAAATACTGAGCTCAACCGAGCTACTAATCCTCACAATGAACAATCACCCACAAGGACAAGGGGGGCAGAGGGAACACTTAAACACATACTAATGAGGGGAATATGAACCAGGTGTGTGTAATTGACAAGACAAGACATATGGAATGATGAGATATGGAGCGGCAGTGGCTAGAAGGCCGGTGACGACGAACGCCGAAGTCTGCCCGAACAAGCAGGGGAGGCAGCTTCGGAGGAAGTCGTGACAGTGTGTTGCTGTTGAGTTGCGTGACGGACTGTAACTTGAGAGGGCTCTGGCAAATCATTAACCGACAGGAGTTCATTTAACTACTGCAACTCTGTCTGTGACCCACAACATCCCAACACTCTCACTGGTGACAGACAACAGGCGATGAAGTCAAAATGCGATTGATAACTCTCAGCTTTGTCCTTGCACTGTGGTTTTGTACACTCACCTTTGTGAAAGGTCAAGGTAAGATATCTCTGCCTGACTGAAATATTACAGATATAAGAAGTTATGTTTGGTTTGGTTTGTCTGGCTAAGAGCGTCTGCTAAATGACGTTAATGTGCCCTTGAGCAAGGCACTTAACCCTAATTGCTCCTGTAAGTCGCTCTGGATAAGAGCGTCTGCTAAATGACTAAAATGTAAATGTAATGTAAATGTTTGTGTAATTTTCCATGCATGCATCGGTGAGACAGCATGTCGAGTTCACACTTGGGATCATGTTGAAATCAGTTCTTACCCACGTATGGAAAAAATTGTGTTTGACCAGATACAATGTTATTTCTCTGTGAATAATTTAACAACTGTCTTTAAGCACACTTATAGTGAAGGGCACTCAACATGTGCTGCCCTGACACAAATGACTGATGATTGGCTGAAATTAATTGATAATAAGATGATTGATGGAGCTTTTGTGTTAGACTTCAGTGCAGCCTTTGATATTATTAACCATCATCTGTTATTGAAAACTCACATGTTATGGCTTTCCATCATCGGCCATATCACGGAGTGAGACCTATCTATCTAATAGACACAGGGTTTTCTTTAACCTCTTAAGGATCGGACCCATTTTTTAAATTTTCGCCTAAAATGACATACAAAAATCTAACTGCCTGTAGCTCAGGACCTGAAGCAAGGCTATGCATATTCTTGATACCATTTGAAAGGAAACACTTTGAAGTTTGTGGAAATGGGAAATTAATGTAGGAGAATGTAACACATTAGATTTGGTAAAAGATAATGCAACATAAAAATATGCTTTTTCTATGTTATTTTTTTGTTCCATCATCTTTGAAATGCAAGAGAAAGGCCACAATATAATATTGCAGTTTAGGCGCAATTTTGATTTTGGCCACTAGATAGTAGCAGTGTGTGTGCAAAGTTTCAGATTGATCCATTGAAGCATTGCAATACTGGACTATTTTGTATCAAGTCTGCCCAAATGTGCCAAATTGGTCAATTGATACATTTTCAAGTACATAACCATAGAGAACATACACAAATTATATGGTAATACAAAATGTAAGTTTACACACTCCCAGGAATGTCATACATGATGGATCATTAGCTTATACACTCACTTTCACACATCGGGGTGGGTGTGGAGCCAGAGACAGCAGGGGTTCAAACTGTAGAACCCAATTCCTACATTTGAATATAAAAATGGATTTGTTCAAACAAAACTATGCTATATTTTATCTCTGGGACCCTTAAGATGACAAATCAGAGCAAGATTACTGAATGTAAGTACATTATTTACCTTCAGAGGTGAATGTACCAAACCAGTTGCTGTGATTCGTTTTTTGTTGTAATGCACTCTCCTCAAACAATAGCATGGTATTTTTTCAATGTAATAGCTACTGTAAATTGAACAGTGCAGTTAGATTAACCATAATTTTAGCCTTCTGCCCATATAAGACATGTCTACAGTGCCTTGCAAAAGTATTCATCCCCCTTGGCGTTTTTCCTATTTTGTTGAATTACAACCTGTAATTTAAATGGATTTTTATTTGGACTTAATTCAATGGACATAGACAAAATAGTCCAAATTGGTGAAGTGAAATGAAAAAAATAACTTGTTTCAAAAAATTCTAAAACATCAATAACGGAAAAAGTGGTGCATGCATATGTATTCACCCACTTTGCTTTGAAGCCCCTAAATAAGATCTGGTGCAACCAATTACCTTCAGAAGTCACATAATTAGTTAAATAAAGTCCACCTGTGTGCAATCTAAGTGTCACATGATCTGTCACATGATCTCAGTAAATATACACCTGTTCTGAAAGGCCCCAGAGTCTGCAACACCACTAAGCCAGGGGCACCACCAAGCAAGCGGCACCATGAAGACCAAGGAGCTCTCCAAACAGGTCTGGGACAAAGTTGTGGAGAAGTACAGATCAGGGTTGGGTTATAAAAAAATATCAGAAACTTTGAACATCCCACGGAGCACCATTAAATCCATTATTAAAAAATTGAAAGAATATGGCACCACAACAAACCTGCCAAGGGAGGGCCGCCCACCAAAAGTCACAGACCACGCAAGGAGGGCATTAATCAGAGAGGCAACAAAGAGACCAAAGATAACCCTGAAGGAGCTGCAAAGCTCCACAGCGGAGATTGGAGTATCTGTCTAAAGGACCACTTTAAGCCGTACACTCCACAGAGCTGGTCTTTACGGAAGAGTGGCCAGAAAAAAGCCAATAATAAGCAAACACGTTTGGTGTTCGCCAAAAGGAATGTGGGAGACTCCACAAACATATGGAAGAAGGTACTCTGGTCAGATGAGACTAAAATTGAGCTTTTTGGCCATCAAGGAAAACGCTATGTCTGGCGCAAACCCAACACCTCTCATCACCCCAAGAACACCATCCCCACAGTGAAACATGGTGGTGGCAGCATCATGCTGTGGGGATGTTTTTCATCGGCAGAGACTGGGAAACTGGTCAGAATTGAAGGAATGATGGATGGAGCTAAATACAGAAAAATTCTTGAGGGAAACCTGTTTCAGTCTTCCAGAGATTTGAGACTTGGACGGAGGTTCACCTTCTAGCAGGACAATGACCCTAAGCATACTGCTAAAGCAACACTCGACTGGTTTAAGGGGAAACATTTAAATGTCTTGGAATGGCCTAGTCAAAGCCCAGACCTCAATCCAATTGAGAATCTGTGGTATGACTTAAAGATTGCTGTACACCAGCGGAACCCATCCAACTTGAAGGAGCTGGAGCAGTTTTGCCTTGAAGAATGGGCAAAAATGCCAGTGGCTCGATGTGCCAAGCTTATAGTGACATACCCCAAGAGACTTGCAGCTGTAATTGCTGTAAAAGGTGGCTCTACAAAGTATTGACTATGGGGGGGGTGAATAGTTATGCACGCTCAGGTTTCTATTTTTTTTGTCTTATTTCGTCAAAGTGGTAGGCATGTTGTGTAAATCAAATGATAGAAACCCCCCCAAAAATCTATTTTAATTCCAGGTTGTAAGGCAACAAAATAGGAGAAATGCCAAGGGGGGTGAATACTTTCGCAAGCCACTGTATGTCCTGGAAAGTTTGCTGTTACTTACAACAGTCATGCTAATCACATTAGCGCACGTTAGATCAACCATCCCGTATACGGGACACTGATCCCGTAGAGGTTAATGGAAGCTTCTCTAACGTAAAAGATATCAAGTGTGGTATTCCACAAAGGAGCTGTCTTAGCCTTTTACTGTTTTCTATTTTTACTAATGATCTACCACTAGCCTTAATCAAAGCCTGTGTGTCTATGTACGCAGATGATTCAACATTATACACGTCAGCACACACAGCTAGTGAAATCACTGCAACCCTAAACAAAGAACTGTAGTCAGTTTTAGAATGGGTGGCTAGTAATAACCTAGTCCTGAACATATCTAAAAACCAAAATCACTGAATTTGGTACATGTCATTCCCTAAGTACTAGACCTCAGCTGAATCTTCTAATTAATGATGTGACCATTGAGCAAGTAGAGGAAACTAAACTTATTGGTGTTACCTTAGATTGTAAACTGTCATCGTCAAGGCATTTTATTAAATTGTTGTTAATATGGGGAGTGGTCTGTCTGTGGTAAAAATATACCCTGCATTTTTAACACCACGCTGGACTAAACAATTTCTGCAGGCTATAGTTTTATCACATCTTGACTATTGCCCGGTTATAAGGTCAGGTGCTGAAAAGAAGGACAGAGGAAAGCTGCAGCTGGTCCAAAACAGAGCAGCACACCTTGTCCTTCACAGTACACCAAGGGCTAATTTGAACAATATGCATGCAAGTCTCTCTTGGCTCAAAGTAGAGGAGAGACTGTATCACTTCTTGTTTTTATGAGAAATATTACTGTGTTGAAAAATTCCAAATTGTCTGTATAATCAACTAACATACAGTTCTGACATACATACTTACCCCAACAGACAAGTCACAAGGGGTCTCTTCACAGTCCCCAAATTCAAAACAAATTTAAGGAAACTCATATATAGAGCCATGGAACTCTCTTCCATCTCAAATTACTCAAGCAAACAACAAAATTAGCTTTAAAAACAAATGAAACATCACCTCACGGCACAACGCCTCTCCCCTATCTGACCTAAATAACTTGTATGTATATGTAGTACTGATATAATGCATGCAAGTGTCTCTCTGTTTCGTCATGTTTTGTCACTACAGGACTTGTTTGGTTATATTATTCTTATTTTAAATGTATGTAGTTCTGTCCTTGAGCTGTTCTTGTCAATTAATGTTCTGTATTATGTCACCTTTCATGTTTTGTGTGGACCCCAGGAAGAGTATCTGCTGCTATAGCAACAGCTAATGGGGATCCTAATAAATAAATAAATAAAATAAATAAGATATGATGGGTTTATGCATCACCCTTGGCATTGCATATTTCAAGATGTTTTAATAAGTCTATTGTGCATTCCATGTAATTTACACCTGTAACTCTGTGTACCTCACAGATTGTTTAAGAAATGAATTTATAAAGAATCCTGACCATGCAAAATTAGACGTTTCCAAGCTAGAAGACACTGCCAGCGACAAAACAGTGAGGTTGCCCTGCGCTATTGGCTACGTAGGTTTCTTAAGATTCAAATGCAACAAGGGAAACTGGCATAAAGAAGGTGGTCGAGAATGTGAACGTAAGTCTATGCCCATCCCATCCCTAACGGAGGTTTAGAATGACATGATATGCATTGCATTTGACAAATTACTTTTAAAGTCAATTCTGATTACAAAATTATAATTTACTGTATGTGAAATTCCATATTGCAGATCATGAACTGTCAATTATAATATACACAAAAAACTAATAATAGCGGAGTATGTAGATGTTGGACCAATATGTTTTTGTTGAATGTTCTTTGGGCTAAAAGCAGTTGTTTCCTCTGTTATTGTTTGCAGCTAAGTCATGTGGGCATCCAGGAGACACACCAAATGGAGACTTCCATCTTTCGATTTTGAACGATTTTGTCTTTGGAGCTGAAGTTGTGTACGAATGCAGAAAAGGGTAGGGGTTTTTCTGTTGCTAACTGTTACATGCTGACTGAAACTTTTTTCTCTATTGTTACATTTTGATCATTTCAACCCTTAGAAGGTTATCTGCTACAACTGCTATTGCTACTGCTACGACTACTACTACTGCTACTGCTACTACTACTAATAATAATAATACTTCTACTACCGCTACTACTACTACTGCTACTTCTACTACTGCTACTACTACTACCCCTGCTAGTACTACTGCTACTACTACTACTACTATTACTACTACTGCTACTTCTACTACTACTACTACTACTACTACTACTACTACTACTACTACTACTTCTACTACTGCTACTACTACTACTACTGCTAGTCCTACTACTACTACTACTACTACTGCTGCAACTAATAGTACTGCTACTACTACTACTGTTACTGCTACTACTACTACTACTACTACTACTACTACTACTACTGCTACTACTACTGCTACTGCTACTGCTACTGCTACTGCTACTGCTACTACTACTACTACTACTACTACTGCTACTGCTACTGCTACTGCTACTACTACTACTACTGCTGCTAATTCTACTTCTACTGCTACTGTTACTGCTACTACTACTACTGCTACTATTACTGCTACTACTACTACTACTACTGCTACCACTACTACTACTACTACTGATATTGCTAATTCTACTGCTACTGCTACTGCTACTGCTACTGCTACTGCTAATGCTACTTCTACTACTGCTACTACTACTACTACTGCTACTGCTACTGCTACTACTACTACTACTAATACTGCTACTGCTCATTCTATTGCTACTGTTACAACTACTACTACTACTACTACTACTACTACTGCTACTACTGCTACTACTTCTACTACTGCTACTACTACTACTACTGCTAGTCCTACTACTACTACTACTACTACTGCTGCAACTAATAGTACTGCTACTACTACTACTGTTACTGCTACTACTACTACTACTACTACTACTACTGCTACTACTACTGCTACTGCTACTGCTACTGCTACTGCTACTACTACTACTACTGCTACTGCTACTGCTACTGCTACTGCTACTGCTACTGCTACTACTACTACTGCTGCTAATTCTACTTCTACTGCTACTGTTACTGCTACTACTACTACTGCTACTATTACTGCTACTACTACTACTACTACTGCTACCACCACTACTACTACTACTAATACAGCTAATTCTACTGCTACTGCTACTGCTACTGCTACTGCTAATGCTACTTCTACTACTGCTACTGCTACTACTACTACTACTGCTACTGCTACTACTACTACTACTAATACTGCTACTGCTCATTCTACTGCTACTGTTACAACTACTACTACTACTACTACTACTACTACTGCTACTACTACTACTACTGCTACTACTGCTCCTTCTACTGCTACTGCTACTACTACTACTACTACTACTGCTACTATTACTGCTACTATTACTACTACTGCTAAAACTACTTCTACTATTACTACTGCTACTGCTACTGCTACTACTACTACTACTGCTACTACTGCTGCTACTACTACTGCTACTACTACTACTACTACTGCTACTACTGCTACTGCTACTGCTACTGCTACTGCTACTGCTGCTACTACTAATGCTACTACTACTGCTACTACTGCTACTAATGCTACTGCTACTTCTACTACTACTACCACTACTACTAACTTTACTACTACTACTACTACTACTACTACTACTACTACAACTACTGCTACTTCTGCTAAATAAAATAAAATAAAATGAGTTTAAATGAGTTTAAATGTATTTGGCTAAGGTGTATGTAACTTCCGACTTCAACTGTATATATTAAAGAGGTGGGGTTTCAAATGTCTCCGGAAGGTGGTGAGTGACTCCGCTGTCCTGGCGTCGTGAGGGAGCTTGTTCCACCATTGGGGTGCCAGAGCAGCGAACAGTTTTGACTGGGCTGAGCGGGAACTATGCTTCCCCAGAGGAAGGGGAGCCAGCAGACCAGAGGTGGATGAACGCAATGCCCTCGTTTGGGTGTAGGGACTGATCAGAGCCTGAAGGTACGGAGGTGCCGTTCCCCTCACTGCTCCATAGGCAAGCACCATGGTCTTGTAACGGATGCGAGCTTCAACTGGAAGCCAGTGGAGTGTGCGGAGGAGGGGGGTGACGTGAGAGAACTTGGGAAGGTTGAACACCAGACGGGCTGCGGCATTCTGGATGAGTTGTAGGGGTTTAATGGCACAGGCAGGGAGCCCAGCCAACAGCGAGTTGCAGTAATCCAGACGGGAGATGACAAGTGCCTGGATTAGGACCTGTGCCGCTTCCTGTGTAAGGCAGGGTCGTACTCTCCGAATGTTGTAGAGCATGAACCTGCAGGATCGGGTCACCGCCTTGATGTTAGCGGAGAACGACAGGGTGTTGTCCAGGGTCACGCCAAGGCTCTTCGCACTCTGGGAGGAGGACACAACGGAGTTTTCAACCGTGATGGCGTGAAGTGCACCAGTCCCTCCTGCAGCAAAGCACCCCCACCGCATGATGCTGTCACCCCCGTGCTTCACGGTTGGGATGGTGTTCTTCGGCTTGCAAGCATCCCCCTTTCCCTCCAAACATAACGATGGGCATTATGGCTGAGGTCTTTGATGATCTTCTTGGCCTTCCTGTGACACCGGGTGATGTCGATGTCCTGGAGGGCAGGCAGTGTGCCCCTGGTGATACGTTGGGCAGACCGCACCACCCTCTGGAGAGCCCTGCGGTTGTGGACGGTGCAGTTGCCATACCAGGCGGTGGTACAGCCCAACAGGATGCTCTCAATGGTGCATCTGTAACAATTTGTGAGGGTCTTAGGCGCCAAGCCAAATTGAGGTTGAAGAGGCGCTGTTGTGCATTCTTCACCACACTGTCTGTGCGGGTGGAGCATTTCAGATTGTCAGTGATGTGTACACTGAAGAACTTCAAGCTTTTCACCTTCTCCACTGCGGCTCCGTCGATGTGGATGGGGGCGTGCTCCCTCTGCTGTCTCCTGAAGTCCACGATCAGCTACTTTGTTTTGTTGACGTTGAGGGAGAGGTTATTTTCCTGGCACAACTCTGCCAGGGCCCTCACCTCCTCCCTCTAGGCTGTCTCGTGGTTAATGGTAATCAGGCCTACCACTGTTGTGTCATCTGCAAACTTGAGGATTGAGTTGGAGGCGTGTCATGGGTGAACACAGAGTACAGGAGGGAGCTGAGCACGCACCCTTGTGGGACCCCTGTGTTGAGGATCAACGTAGTGGAGGTGTTTTTGCCTGGGGGGCGGCTCGTCAGGAAGTCTAGGACCCAGTTGCACAGGGAGGGCTTCAGGCCCTGAGCTTAATGATGAGCTTGGAGGGTACTATGGTGTTGAATGCTGAGCTGTAGTCAATGAACAGCATTCTTACATAGGTATTCCTCTTGTCCAGATGGGATAGGGAAGTATGCACTGCGATGACGATTGCATCATCAGTGGATCTATTGGGGCTTCGCTCTCTTAGATACAGGAACAAGGGTGGACATCTTGAAGCAAGTGGGTACAACAGACCGGAATAGGGAGAGATTGAATAGGTTCGTAAACACTCCAGCCAGGTGGTGTGCGCATGCTCTTAGGACAAGGGATGCTGTCTGGGCCTGCAGCCTTGCGAGGGTTAACACGCTTAAATGTCTTACTCACGTAGGCTACGGAGAACGAGAGCTCACAGTCTTCAGGCACTGTGTTATCCTCTAAGCAGGCGAAAAGGGTGTTTAGCTTGTCCGGGAGCAAGACGTCGGTGTCCGCGACGTGGCTGGTTTTCCCTTTGTAATCCGTGACTGTCTGGAGTCCCTGCCATATACGTCTTGTGTCTGAGCTATTGAATTACGACTCCACTTTGTCTCTGTACTGAAGTTTTGTCATTTTGATTGCCTTACGGAGGGCCTAACTGGACTGTTTGAACAGCCAGGTAGTCCTGATGCATGGTCCTAGGGCTCAGGTCCTCTGGGAGGGGAGAGAGAGCGAGAGAGAGGGGAGGGGGGAGAGGGTTAGAGAGCAAGAGAGAGAGAGGGGGGAGAGGGTGAGAGAGAGAGCGAGAGAGATGGGAGAATTAGAGGGAGCATACTTAAGATCACACAGGACACCAGATAAGACAGGAGAATTTCAGACTGACCCTGGCACATAGACTATTGCAGCATAGATACTGGAGGCTGAGACTGCAGCTACTACTGCTGCTACTACTACTGCTATTACTACTACTGCTGCTACTACTGCTACTGCTACTTCTACTACTACTACTACTACTACTACTACTACTACTACTACTACTACTACTGTTACTTCTACTGCTACTGCTACTACTGCTACTACTGCTACTACTGCTACTGCTACTTCTACTACTACTACTACTGCTACTACTGTTACTACTGCTGCTACTACTACTGCTACTACTACTACTGCTAATAATAATACTGCTACTATTAATGATTCTACTGCTACTATTGTAAATAATAATTCTTGAAGTATAACAAACCATCAAATGGCTGTTCTCCAACTTGTCTCCATCTCAGTTACCAAATGGTGACCAGGACCAGACATCGGACCTGCGTGGAACAAGGGTGGGACAGCGCACTCCCTATATGTGAAGGTAATAAGTGATATATTCTGTCAAGCACATAGACTCACCCTACATTGTCTGGTAAAACAGTCAATGCAAAACAATTACTTTTTAAATCTTGTATTGAGATAATGAAATCAAAATGATGTGTTTTGATTTGATGAAGTTTACCCAGATGTCTTCCCAAGACAAATTATCTTAGTGCACTGGCAGATCATTTTGCTTAATTTAGCTAACAAAACAAAGTTATACTATCTTGTTACAAGATAAATTATCTTGATGCATTTTCTGGGTAAGCATAATCAACTCCAAACAAATCATTTTGACAAAATTTCCTCAATACAAGATTTTTACAAATTAGGTAAGAAAAAATAAGTGCAGTGTATTGAAATCTACAGTATAGTTGATTCCACCCATGTCTGCCAGTGCTTGCATCCTTTATACTAGTTCTGTATTCTCCATGTTGTGTGTTTTTCACAGCGGTGAAATGCCCAGTGATTCAAGTCAACGACAACGTTGTGATCATCGGAAGCAGTGAGGATGCAACCTATGGAAATGTCATCCAGTTTGAGTGCCAATCAAATAACATGGTACTCAAAGGACCGTCTGAGATGGACTGCAATGACAGAGGAGAATGGAGCAGCACGGTCCCAACATGTGAAGGTAAACTGAAGCTACTGTATGTAAAAACACACTATGTATGCAAATATATGTGGACACCCCTTCAAATTAGTGGGTTGTTTCAGCCACACCCGTTGCTGACAGGTGCATAAAATAGAGCACACAGACATGCAACCTCCATAGACAAACATTGGCAGTAGAATGGCCTTACTGAAGAGCTCAGTGACTTTCAACGTGGCACCGTCATAGGATGCCTCCAACAAGTCAGTTCGTCAAATTTCTGCCTTGCTAAAGCTGCCCCGGGCAAACTGTACGTGCTGTTATTGTGAAGTGGTCCTCGGTTGCAACACTCACTACCAAGTTTCAAACTGCCTCTGGAAGCAGCGTCAGCACAATAACTGTTCATCGGGAGCTTCATTAAATGGGTTTCCATGGCCGAGCAGCTGCACTCAAGCCTAAGTTCACCATGTGCAATGCCAAGCGTTGGCTGGAGTGGTGTTAAGTTTGCCGCCATTGGACTCTGGAGCAGTGTAAACGCCTTCTCTGGAGTGATGAGTCACGCTTCACCATCTAGCAGTCCGATGGACGAATCTGGGTTTGGCGGATGCCAGGAGAACAGTACCTGCCCGAATGCGTAGTGCAAATTGTAAAGTTTTGTGGAGGAGGAATAATGGTCTGGAGTTGTTTTTCATGGTTTGGGCTTGTCCCCTTAGTTCCACTGAAGGGAAATGTTAACGCTACAGCATACAATGACATTCTAGACGATTCTGTGCTTCTAACTTTGTGGCAAAAGTTTGGGGAAGGCCCTTTCCTGTTTCAGCATGGCAATGCCCCTGTGCACAAAGCGAGGTCCATACAGAAATGGTCTGTCGAGATCGGTGTGGAAGAACTTGACTGGCCTGCACAGAGCCCTGACCTCAACCCCATCGAACACCTTCCGGATGAATTGGAATGCCGACTGCGAGCCAGGCCTAATCGCCCAACAGCAGTACCCGACCTCACTAATGCTGTTGTGGCAGAATGGAAGCAAGTCCCCGCAGCATTGTTCCAACATCTAGTGGAAAGCCTTCCCAGAAGAGTGGAGGCTGTTACAGCAGCCAAGCGGGGACCAACCACATATTAATGCACATGATTTTGGAATGAGATGTTCGACGAGCAGGTGTCCACATACCTTTGGCCATGTAGTGTACACCACCAGGCACTATGACATCGTCATACATGTCACTAGCTGATGTGGATGCGGTGTAGGAGTCAGGCGCAGGACACAGAGGCTCAGTCAAACACGACTTCACTAGACGTAATGACAATACAAAATAAAGGGCCTCGAAAACACAGGATGCGTGCGAAAACGCACAACAGTGCATAACAATAAGCAAGACCAAAAAGTTCCACACAAGATAAACACCGACGGACAGGCGGACAATAACACACAAACTCACATACACAAAGCAGGAAACTTATAGGTCACATAATTAGACACAAACGGACACAGGTGCAACAACCAAACCAAACAAACATCGAAACATCCAACGGTGGTAGCTAGTACTCCGGGGACGACGAACGCCGAAGCCTGCCCGAGCAAGGAGGAGGAGCAGTCTCGGCCGAATTCGTGACAATACACAACAGGGCAATGTCCCACTTGTTAGATTAATTTTGTATTTTAAGAATAATGACTAAAGGATTTCACCCCAAATACAGTATAAATGTGTGAACGGGGTTAGTTATATTGTAGTGGCAACCCACTAACAGAGGGGGGCGGGACTTAACATTCCAGGGTGAAGGAGACTGCGGAAACGGGTTACAAAAAGCCTCCTAAAGGTGGGCGGAGCAAAGTGCCTTTGTGTGAAGAGGTATAAAACAGTATGTATGGGTTTTGGGCGCCAGAGCTCTCCATGAATAAAATACAGATCATTCTTGCTGGTTGTGGACCTTGAATCATTTATGATTAAAACCAGAGCCTTACAACCTCTGGTAATGATTCAAGCTTAGGTTGAATTAGAGATTCTCTTGACACCACTAGAATACAAAACAAATCACAACATGATCCCATATTGGGGAAGAATATATAATGACCGTATAGAATGATCAGTGATTATATGTAGTGTTTTTTTAAATCCAGATTTGAATGACCGTCATCAACTCAAAAGTGTAATATTAAAAATAATCCCTCACAATGCTTATACCATATTTGAATCAACAATTCGTATTGTCACACATTGTTGTTTCTGATCATAATAATAATAATAATAATAATAATATGCCATTTAGCAGACGCTTTTATCCAAAGCGACTTACAGTCATGCGTGCATACATTTTTTGTGTATGTATGGTCCCGGGGATCGAACCCACTACCTTGGCGTTACAAGCGCCATGCTCTACCAGCTGAGCTACAGAGGACCACCCATCATGATGACCAATCATCTGTTTAATTATGTGCTTATTCAATTCACAGTGATTAAATGCTATGCTCCAGAAATAGCTAATGGTGCAGTGACCGGGCCCCCAAAGGAAGATTACAATGAAGATGACATACTGAGATACAGCTGTAATCCGAGGTATATGAAGTCTCAGGGAAGAGCCCCTCGATGCACTAAAATGGTCAACAGAGCCATATGGAGTCCAACACCAGAGTGTGAAGGTAAGGATCTGATCATCTCAGGAATCAAGTGAATGCAACTTGACATTTTAAGTCGGCTGGGTAACTCATGTTTTGAACTTTAAATTTATATTTTTATAATTTAAACATATTTTATCAAGCTACTAACATAATGTTTTTTAATGTTTTTGTTTCTAAAATGCAGAAGTGAAATGTTCATTATCATTGCCACCAACAAGAGGAACCAGTTACACACCTGCTGGCAGAAATCTGTTCTTGCCTGATGAAAGGGTGACGGTGACCTGTGCCTCAGGATTCTGGATCTTTAGCAAAACATCCAAAGAGATAGTAACATGCCAAGAGGACGGAAAGTGGTCATCTTCTACAGATTGTGAACGTATGTTTATACTGGAGAGTATATTGTAGTATGATATATTGAGGGTATATTGAGGTATAGACAGATGAGTCACTGTGTATTACTGTACAGGTATGGTTCATGATGACACTAAACATCTCTATCATTGTAGCGATAACCTGTGATGATCCACGTGACCCTCTTGTGAGTTCTCGCTACCGCTGGCAGCGGGGTCAATTGAGAGAAACTCACAGTTACAGCTGTAAATCCGGATTTAAAACCACAAATGCCAGGGGTGTTGCCACATGCACAAGTGATGGCTCCTGGACTCCACACCCACTCTGTGAAGGTGCAGTATTTTGAAGGACGCCATCTTTGAATACCACTATGGTTTAATTACCTTGTGGTCGGATGTTAGTTTGGACTGCATCAGAATTACGTTGTTTGTCTTTCAGAGATAACATGTGACAAGCCAGATATCCCAAATGCTGTGATTGAAGACCCTAAAACAAGATACAAATACAATGAACAGCTCACTTATGAATGTAAGAGGAATTATGAACTATTGGACAGCACTACCAGACCTGCTGCTACCTGTACGACAAATGGCTGGACCAGGACACTTGGCTGTAAAGGTAGGGTGACATTTATATTTCAATCATCTAAAACTTTGAGGATGTGACTCAAGTCACTGATCCAGAGGGTTTAAAGGCTACTGGAAAGATCAAACATCAGATTTTAACCTATTGGGGATTTGATGTGGAATTGGTAATGGCCAGAACATTCGCTCACTTTGCTTCCATTGGTTTTCCAGATATTGCTCCGTTCAGTGCTTTTACCAAACTGACAGTGTGGCCAAAATGTCATGATATTGTAGAGCAGGTCCTCTAAGTGCTCTGTAAACAGTTTAAAGCACGATGTGTCACAATGCCTTCTGTAATGTTTCATGCAATTGTTTCTCCCAGAAATAGAAGGAGTATGCATTATATTGAGGATATATTGAGGTATAGACAGATGAGTCACTGTGTATTACTGTACAGGTATGGTTCATGATGACACTAAACATCTCTATCATTGTAGTGATAACCTGTGATGATTCACGTGACCCTCTTGTGAGTTCTCCCTACCACTGGCAGCGGGGTCAATTGGGAGGAATTCAGCGTTAAAGCTGTAGAGCTGGATTTAAAACCACGAATGTGTCACAATGTGTCACAATGTGTTCTATAATGTGTCACAATGTGTTCTATAATGTGTCACAATGTGTTCTATAATGTATCACAATGTGTTCTATAATGTGTCACAATGTGTTCTATAATGTTTCATGTCATTGTCTCCCCCAGAAATAGAGGGAGCATGTATCAACCCGACTGTGGAGAATGGATTCATAGTTCAGTCAAATGAGAGGAATGTTGATCCTATGAACAGCAAGATATATTATTCCTGCAATGAAAGGTTCAAACCCTCTACCAGGGGTTGGTGGGGTGCAGCCACATGTACTGAGGGAAAATGGTCTGGAATTTCAAAGTGTATTGGTAAGAAAACAGATCCTCTAGATATTATCTCTTTAAAAAGTAGATCAAGAACAGTAGAATGCATTTTCCTCTGCCTTTGCTAAATTGGTCTGAAACTCAATCTCAATGCTGTGTCTCTCTAGATCAATCACAATGTGGCAGAATCCCTGTCATTCCCAACACGATTAAGGTAACTCACCGTGAAGTCTATAACAATCAAGCAACTGTTCAAATTCATTGCAAAGATAGATACTCATCTGAAAATATGAATATACAATGTAAGAATGGAGAATGGCAAGCACCGTTACCAGCTTGTAAACGTGAGTAGTTGTTAATAGTTTCGTACATTTGAAATAATCACTTGATTTGACTTGTATGCAGGGGCCAGTCATCCTTTACTGTATGTTTACTATATGTTTTAATTGTTTGGGGAAAAGGCCCCAGAAGCCCGTATGATATTACGTAAATAGACAGGTAGTTGTTCTGTATCTGTACTGTGTGTATGTTTTCTACCCACTAATCTTACATCAATATTTTCTTCTCCTGAAGCGCAAGGCGTTCCATGTGATCCTCCACCTAAAGTTGAAAATGCAATTGTTAAAATCCCGTACCAAAATGAATACATAGAGGGATTTGAAGTGAATTATGAATGTCGCAAGGCCTTTGAAATAAAGGGACTTCAAAAAATTACTTGCAAAAATGGGACTTGGACACCATCACCACCAACATGCAAACGTAAGTATTGATAACTGTTTGAAACTGATGCAGTAATCCAGTTTATAGTTACTTTATAATGAACATCACCTATTCAAAAAGGTTTAAAAAAAAAAGATTTAAACGTTAATTGAGATGAAACAATTCCGTATCACATAATACCATGTTTCTCCGCTCGTACAATCAGGGATCCTTGTTAAGGCTTTGCTTGGTATTACAGAAATATACATCTCTGATTTATAGTTTCTCAGCATGTCTCCAATGTGTCCACTTTGAGAAAGTTGCTGTTGTTTTTTGTTGTTGTTGCTATATTCAATATATTTACACAAGTGTAGTTTTCCTAGAGATGATCATGGATGAGTTTCAGTGCATATTTACTGTATGTATCACAAATTACCCCAGTAAAATCTTCTGAATATACTGTACATTGGCCATTGACTATGGTTCTAACCATACAGTCATTCACTGCCACATTTGTGTCTCTGGTACTTTATTGTAATTTGATAGTTCTAACATGCTGTGCTTCACCTGCAGAGTACTGTGGTAAGCCTGAGGGTGCAGGGAAACATTTTCAGATTGTTAACCAGGGGCGAGAGAGATACGAAAATGGGAACCAAATAGAATATGAATGCCTCAGCCCATACAAAGGCCCAGGAGGAAAAACAATTTGCAAGAATGGAGAATGGCACATGCCGGTTGAGTGTAAAGGTAAGTCTTAAGTCTATGGTACTGTATTATCATGGTACTGTATTATCATGATACTGTATTATCATGGTACTGTATTATCATCGTACTATACTGTATTATCCTTGTACTGTATTATCATGATACTGTATTATCATTGTACTGTACTGTATTATCATCAAACTGTATTATCATGGTAATGTATAATCAGGTCACTGTATTATCATGGTACTGTATTATCATGATATTGTATTAACATGGTACTGTATTGTCGTGATACTGTACTGTAGTATCATGGTAATGTATTATCATGGTACTGTACTGTATTATCATGATACTGTACTGTATTATCATGATACTGTACTGTACTATCATGATACTTTACTGTATTATCATGATGCTGTATTATTATGATACTGTACTGTATTATCATAATACTGTACTGTATTATCATGATACTGTACTATCAAGGTACTGTATGGTATTATCATGCTACTGTATTGTCATGGAACTGTATTATCATGATGCTGTATTATCAAAGTTTTATATTATCATACTGCTGTATTATCATGGTACTGTATAATCATGGTACTGTATTATCATGGTACTCTATTATATTATCATGATACTGTATTAACATGGTACTGCATAATCATGATACAGTACTGTAGTATAATGGTACTGTATTATCATGGTCCTGTATTGTATTATCGTGTTACTGCATTATCATTGTACTGTATTATAATAATACTGTATTATCAAGGTACTGTTTGGTATTATCATGGTACTGTATTATTCTGTATTATCATGATACTGCATTATCATGATATTGTACTGTATTATCTTGGTACTGTATTATCATTGCACTGTATTATTTTATTGTATTATCATGGTACTGTATTAACATGATACTGTATTATCGTTGAACTGTATTATCATGGTACTGTAATGTATTATAATTCTACTGTATTATCATTATACTGTACTGTATTATCCTAGTACTGTACTTCATTATCATGGTACTGTACTGTATTATCATGGAACTGTATTATCATGGCACTGTATTATTATGATACACTATTATCATGGTACTGTACATTTTGTAATGCTTTATAATAACAATATGCCATTTAGCAGACTTTTTTCCAAAGCGACTTACAGTCATGTGTGCATAAATGTTTACGTATGGGTGGTCCCAGGGATCGAACCCACTACCCTGGCGTTACAAGTGCCATGCTCTACCAATTGAGCTACAGCTTTATCATATACAGTTGAAGTCGGAAGTTTACATACACCTTAGCCAAATACATTTAAACTCGTTTTTTCACAATTCCTGAAATTTAATCCTAGAAAAAAATCCCTGTTTTAGGTCAGTTAGGATCACCACTTTATTTTAATAATGTGAAATGTCAGAATAATAGTAGAGAGAATGATTTATTTCAGTTTTTATTTATTTCATCACGTTCCCAGTGGATCAAAAGTTTACATACGCTCAATTAATATTTGGTAGCATTGCCTTTAAATTGTTTAACTTGGGTCAAATGTTTTGGGTAGCCTTCCACAAGCTTCCCACAATAAGTTGGGTGAATTTTGGCCCATTCCTCCTGACAGATCTGGTGTAACTGAGTCATGTTTGTAGGCCTCCTTGCCTCCTTCTTCAGTTCTGCCCACACATTTTCTATAGGATTGAGGTCAGGGCTTTGTGATGGCCACTCCAAAACCTTGACTTTGTTGTCCTTAAGCCATTTTGCCACAACTTGGGGTCATTGTCCATTTGGAAGACGCATTTCCGACCAAGCTTTAACTTCCTGACTGATGTCTTGAGATGTTGCTTCAATATATCCCCCCCAAAATTCTTCCTCATGATGCCATCTATTTAGTGAAGTGCACCAGTGCCTCCTGCACCAAAGCACCCCCACAACATGATGCTTCCACCCCCGTGCTTCACGGTTGGGATGGGGTTCTTCGGCTTGCAAGCATCCCCCTTTTCCCTCCAAACATAAAGATGGTCATTATGGCCAAACAGTTCTATTTTTGTTTCATCAGACCAGAGGACATTTCTTTGTTCCCATGTGCAGTTGCAAACCGTTGTCTGGCTTTTTTATGGCGGTTTTGGAGCAGTGGCTTCTTCCTTGCTGAGCGGCCTTTCATGTTATGTCAATACAGGACAAGTTTTACTGTGGATATAGATACTTTTGTACCTGTTTCCTCCAGCATATTCACAAGGTCCTTTGCTGTTGTTCTGGGATTGATTTGCACTTTTCGCACCAAAGTACGTTCATCTCTAGGAGACAGAACGCATCTCCATCCTGAGCGGTATGACGCCTGCGTGGTCCCATGGTGTTCATACTTGAGTACTATTGAATGTACAGATGAACGTGGTACATTCAGGCGTTTGGAAAGTGCTCCCAAGGATGAACCAGATTTGTGGAGGTCTACAATTTTTTTCTGAGGTCTTGGCTGATTTATTTTGGATTTTCCCATGATGTCAAGCAAAGATGCACTGAGTTTGAAGGTAAGCCTTGAAATACATCCAAAGGTACACCTCCAATTGACTCAAATTATGTCAATTAGCCTATCAGAAGCTTCTAAAGCCATGACATCATTTTCTGGAATTTCCCAAGCTGTTTAAAGGCACAGTCAACTTAGTGTATGTAAACTTCTGTCCCACTGGAATTGTGATACAGTCAATTACAGTGCCTTGCAAAAGTTTTCATCCCCCTTGGCGTTTTTCCTATTTTGTTGCATTACAACCTATAATTTAAATGGATTTTTATTTGGATTTCATGTACTGAACATAGACAAAATAGTCAAAATTGGTGAAGTGGAATTTAAAAAATAACTTGTTTCAAAAAATTCTAAAAAATAAATAACGGAAAAGTGGTGTGTGCATATGTATTCACCCCCTTTGCTATGAAGCCCCTAAATGCGATCTGGTGCAACCAATTACCTTCAGAAGTCACATAATTAGTTAAATAAAGTCCACCTGTGTGCAATCTAAGTGTCACATGATCTGTCACATGATCTCAGTATATATACACCTGTTCTGAAAGGACCCAGAGTCTGCAACCCCACTAAGCAAGGGGCACCACCAAGCAAGCGGCACCATGAAGCTCTCCAAACAGGTCAGGGACAAAGTTGTGGAGAAGTACAGATCAGTGTTGGGTTATAAAAAAAATATCTGAAACTTTGAACATCCCACGGAGCACCATTAAATCCATTATTAAAAAATTGATAGAATATGGCACCAAAACAAACCTGCCAAGAGAGGGCCACCCACCAAAACTCATGGACCAGGCAAGGAGGGCATTAATCAGAGAGGCAACAAAGAGACCAAAGATAACCCTGAAGGAGCTGCAAAGCTCCACAGCGGAGATTGGAGTATCTGTCCATATGACCACTTTAAGCCATACACTCCACAGAGCTGGGCTTTACGGAAGAGTGTAAAATTTAACTTTTTGGCCATCAAGGAAATGCTATGTCTGGCGCAAACCCAACACTTCTCATCACCCTGAGAACACCATCCCCACAGTGAAGCATGGTGGTGGCAGCATCATGCTGTGGGGATGTTTTTCATCGGCAGGGACTGGGAAACTGGTCAGAATTGAAGGAATGATGGATGGAGCTAAATACAGGGAAATACTTGAGGGAAACCTGTTTCAGTCTTCCAGAGATTTGAGACTTCACCTTCCAGCAGGATAATGACCCTAAGCATACTGCTAAAGCAACACTCGAGTGGTTGAAGGGGAAACATTTAAATGTCTTGGAATGGCCTAGTCAAAGCCCAGACCTCAATCCAATTAAGAATCTGTGGTATGACTTAAAGATTGCTGTACACCAGCGGAACCCATCCAACTTGAAGGAGCTGGAGCAGCTTTGCCTTGAAGAATGGGCAGAAATCCCATTATAGAGACATACCCCAAGAGACTTGCAGCTGTAATTGCTGCAAAAGGTGGCTCTACAAAGTATTGACTTTAGTGAATAGTTATGCACGCTCAAGTTTTCTGTTTTTTTGTCTTATTTCTTGTTTGTTTCACAAAAAAAATTATTTTGCATATTCAAAGTGGTAGGCATGTTGTGTAAATGAAATGATACAAACCCCAAAAAAATCCATTTTAATTCCAGGTTGTAAGGCAACAAAATAGGAAAAATGCCAAGGGGGGTGAATACTTTCGCAAGCCACTGTATAAGTGAAATAATCTGTCTGTAAACAATTGTTGGAAAAATACTTGTGTCATGCACAAAGTAGATGTCCTAAACGACTTGACAAAACTATAGTTTGTTAACAAGAAATTGGTGTAGTGTTTGAAAAATGAGTTTTAATGACTCCAACCTAAGTGTATGTAAACTTCCGACTTCAACTGTAGCTACAGTTGGATTGCTATTTTCACACAGTAGCCCATATTAAACAGTTTATTTCTTTATTGTTTTATCATTAAACATGTATTTTATTGCATTATAACTATATACACAGTACCAGTCAAAAGTGTGGACACACCTACTCATTCAAGGGTTTATTTTTTTACATATTTTTTATACATTATAGAATAATAATGAGGACATCAAAACTATGAAATAACACATATGGAATCATGAAGTAACCAAAAAAAGTGTTAAATAAATTAAAATATATGTTATATTTTAGATTCTTCAAAGTAGCCACCGTTTGCCTTGATGACAGCTTTGCACACTCTTGTCATTCTCTCAACCAGCGTCACCTGGAATGCTTTTCCAACAGTCTTGAAGGAGTTCCCACATATGCTGAGCACTTGTTGGTTGCTTTTCCTTCACCCTGCAGTCTAACTCATCCCAAACCATCTCAATTGGGTTGAGGTTGGGGGATTGTGGAGGCCAGCTCATCTGATGCAGCACTCCATCACTCTCCTTGGTCAAATAGCCTTAAACAGCCCGGAGGTGTGTTGGGTCATTGTCCTGTTGAAAAACAAATGATAGTTCCACTAAGCGCAAACCAGGTGGGATGGCGTATCGCTGCAGAATGCTGTGGTAGCCATGCTGGTTAAGTGTGCCTTGA